CCGGGTGGTGCTGGAGAAGATCACAGAAATCACAGAATCACGGAGTCAATTAGGTTGGAAAAGACCTCTGAGATCATCGAGTCCAACCTATGACCGAACACCACCGTGTCAAGTAGACTAGGGCGCTGAGTGACACATTCAGTCATTCCTAGAACACCTCCAGGGATGGTGACTCTACCACCTCCCTGGGCAGCGCATTCCAATGTCTAATCACCCCTTCTGTGGAAAAATTCCTCCCGGTGTCCAACCTAAACCTTCCCTGGCACAGCTTGAGACTATGTCTTCTCATCCTGTCGCTGGTTGTCTCGGAGAAAAGGCCGCCCTCCACCTGGCTACGACCTCCTTTCAGGAAGTTGTAGATGTCCCGGGACAGCCCTGGGAGATATAGAAGTGTCCCGGGGCAGCCAGGGCCGGTTTTCAGAGGGTTGTCCAGCACCAGCCCCGGGAGTCTCAGAAGGGGCATCCTGGGCTAGCCTTGGGGTTGGGGAGTCTGTGGGGGTGTTCTGGGGCAGCCTTTGCAGGGCCTGGGGCAATGCTGGACCAGCTCTGGAGAGGTTTGCTGGGGGTGGTGTCACAGTCTGGTCCCTGTAGCCTCTTCTCTGAGGGCTCCCTGACCCAGGTGTGGGGTGATATGGGGACCTTAGAGCAGGCTGTGTCTGGGGCAACCCCAGAGCTTCTTCAGCATCCAGACCCTGTGGGTTTTCCCAGGGAATAGGGGTAAAGGGGCCCAGGGCCATGGAGGCAGAGGTCCAGCAGGCCCAGGGCTGGCCGTGCCCCCCCGCACCACCTCCCAGCCCTCTTCTGCCTGAGCAGAGCTGGACAATCTGTCCTTGTCCCCAGCAGGTCTGAAGTAGGTCAGGGAGGCTTGGCCAAGCCCCTGGGGAGGGGAGTGGGTGGCAGGGGGGTGCAGAGGGCCCCAGGCACCCGCCCCAGTGGCCACACCACAGGTTTGGTGCCCACCCCTTGTCCCGGTGGGACCCAGGTGTCCCCAGCCCAGGGACATGGGCACGCAGGGCATTTCCCCAGCCTCTCTTTGGTCTCCTGGTGTGCTTTGGGATCCCTCTGCATCCCTGCAGGCTCTGCACCCCTTCTGGGAGCCAGAGTCCCATGGGCACAGGTTGAAGTGTCTGAATCCTGAGGGACATCACCCAGTATGGGGACCTGGGGGGCTGGTGATGGGAATTGAGCGTGGGGCTGGGCTGAGTGGGAACGGCAGGATGACCACAAGGAATAAGGAAGATGAGAGAGGGATTTCTCACCCCTTAATTGCAGTTAATGATTGGCGAATGTGTTTACTGCAGGAGGCAAAGGTCTGGCAGCGTCAGGATGCAAGTGCAGAGGCAACATCCCCAGCGACAGGGCCACAGGTAAGGGATGACAGCCCCAGCCCCTACAGGCATCACGGCCCATTGTGGGGGGGGGAGGGCATGTCTGTTGGCTGTGGGGCTGCCCACAGCCCATGGCACAAGGAGGGAGACCCCACAGTGGTGCCACAGGTTGCTCTTGGACTCCCAGCACTGCTTGGGGCAGCCACGTTGGGCGTGAGCTATGGAGCCTCCAGCCAGGAGGCTCCTGGAGTCCCCAGGCACACTCACGGTCCCCAGTACTTGGAGGTCAATCCTGTGCCCCCGTTCCGTGTCCCCAGGGAGCCTGTGCCCAGGGGTGTGGGATGGAGCCTGGTGCTTGATCACCAGCCCAGCTCAGCAGAGGGACTGTCCCCACCAACACCCCTCCTGCCCCAATGGCTGCTCCCCAGGAGGGATCTGGGGGGGCAGCCCTCAGCCGCTTGTTCTCTGTTGTGTGCCCACAGGATTCCTGGCAGGATGGGATGGCACTCGCTGGTACTGCTCCCCTTCCTCCTGGCAACAGGTAAGGACTCTTCTTGGCATCTGGCATGGGTGGGCAGGGGGTCATGGAGCTGCTTTCAGCCCCCAACATTCCTTCTGAATTCTCTGAGAGCAGCTGGGACCCCAAAACAGCTGTTCACCCCACTGAAGAACCAAGTGTAACTTTGTTGCCCTGGGACAGGGTAGGGGTGGGCAGTGGGGAGAACATCCAGCATGGGAGCTGCAGCTGGAAGACAAGCGTGGTCTGGAGGTGTGGGAGGAGCACAAGGAGATGAGGGGTGGTGGGTTCCCCTGCCTTCCCTGGAGACCCAAACCATGGCCAGGAGCTGGGGCTGGAGATAAGTAGGTGCTGCCAGATGTGGGGCTGCTGGCAGAGCTCCTACTCCTTGTAGTTTCAGGCAACACAGTCCCCATCTTCAACATGAGCCTCGTTTACGTGCCTGAGGACCTGGAGTTGGGTGAGTAGGGGCAGTCTCAGGAAGGCCCTGGATTGCAGGAGGAGCGGCTGGGGGGTTCCTCAGACAGGAGCTGACACTGCCTGTGCCCCCAGACCAGTTTGCTTTCCAGCTGAAGGCTTATGACCTAGACAAGGACGACATCCTCACCTATGGAATCAGAGGGACAGATTCCTTCTACTTCTCTGTCGATCCCAGTTCAGGCAACGTGACGCTGAGGAATTCCCTGGACCGCGAGGTGTGGGCAGAGATGGGACAGATGTCCCTGCCTGACTGGGGGTTTGGGGTGACGGGGACAGAGGGCAGAGCCATGAATCCTGTGGGAGAGCTGCTCATGGCAGTACCGTGTGTCACTCCCTGGCCCCGAAACCCAGCTCCTGGGGGGAGAGTTGTCTGGGAGGAACATCCTACACAGAGGTTGGGGCTTAGCCGTCCAGGGATTGAGCTTCACCTGGCCCTGACCGAGTCCTGCCTTGTGTCCCCTCAGCTCAAGGCCAGGCTCACCATCACTGCCACAGTGTCTGACGGTGTAAATAATGAGGTAAGTGCTGGGGCATGGGCTAAGTGTCTGCAGTGGGAGGGGAGCAGGGTCTCAACAGGGCCACAGACAAGGCTCAGTGGGAAGGGGACTAGAAGTGGGTGGGTGATGCTGGCTGGCTTCAGAGCCAGGGTGGGCATAGGGTGCCAGAACTGCATGAAGCTCTGCTGGCCACCATCTCCCATACCCATCCTATGTCCTCTCTGATACCCGATAGGTCTCCCAAATACTCCCCATCATCGTGGAGGACCGTAATGACAATGCCCCGGTCTTCTGGAACGTGCCGTATAACGCCTTCATCCCCGAGGTACCTTCCTGGGACCTCCTGACTCCCACAGGCAGGAGGGCAGGGGTGCTGGGTGGCTCCTGTGGGATGGGTGTGCCAGCACTGGGACAACAGTGTGCTGGTAGCTGTGTGACCCCACACCTGGGTGTAACAGTGCACCAGGAACCCTGTGACCCCACACCTGGGTGTAACAGTGCACCAGGAACCCTGTGACCCCACACCTGGGCATTTGGTGATGGTGTGCCTGGGCGTGGGGCGATGGTGCAGCCAGCACCTGGGAGTGCTCCATGCTGGGGCAATTCCCTGTGAGTGCTTCTGTGTCACCCTGAGGCGCTGACACATGTCTGGGACTCTGCCCTTGCAGCTTCCAATCAGGGTGTGCCCAAGCTGACTCTCATCCCAGGACAGGGTGACATTGGATCAGGGTGCAGATGGGGTGTGGGGCTGAGTCTGGCCCTGTCTGGCAATTCGAGGACTGGGGTGCAGCCCCTGCTCCCAAGGAGCCCCAAGGAGGGTGGCAGGAGGATCCAGCCTCTGCCCAGCTTGAGCAAGGGCAGCATCTTGTCCTTGTGTGTCCCATGGCACTGGGCAGCGCCTGCAGCCCTGTTGGGTCAGAGCACTCCAGAGCAGGGCTGGCAGGGACTGGGCCCAGCATCACTCTCCCTGCTCTCTCACCATCACTCCCCTGTGTGCCCAGAACTCAACACTGCACAGCATCATCTACAACGTGTTTGCCAATGACAGCGACACTGGGAACGCCTCCAGAGTCAGCTACAGCATCGAGGAGGTGAGCACAGTGCACTGTGGGGTAGGGCATGCCAGACCCAAACCCCACTGCTGG